TCGACCAGACGCCCCACTGGTGGGCGAGTGCTCGGTTCCGACTTTCACCGCCGGTCCAACAGCGTTCTGCTGGTTCCCGCCGATCCGGTTACGACACCGCAAGTGCCGTACCGACTCGGGCGTCCCAGGTGGGCGTAACGGTTACCACACCAGTTCGCGACCCCCAGGCTCTGTCAGCCGTCGTACGGCTCTCGGACGGACACTCTAATAGATCAGCCACAGATCAATAGGTTGTCACAGACCGTCCGTCCAGCCAAGCGCTACCCACAGCGCAGTACGACAGTGTACACTGCCATGTGCACCTTAAGGGGAAAAAGTGACTGGTGGTACATGACAAAGGGTTGTGCAACTGTGAAGTTCATGCCCTTGGTCTTGCTGGATTCAAATGCATATAGCTATAGCAGGATCAGTGAGGGTTGTAGACATGCTTCATACACTGTGAATTGAAGATATTGGCACAAAGTTCATCCATAATTACTATGCTTAACACTCATGTAAGAAGCAACATAAATGCCCAGATGATACAGCTCTCTGGTCAACATCACACAAATTTATTGACATACGTTGCTGGTACATATTTACATTCATAGCAAATACTTTCGATTTGATTCAATAACTAGGTGCTAGTAAGCTTGCATTTTGGTGGGTACAACAATGAACATATATTTAATCATAAAACTTTCTCGTGGCATTCATCACATACCTTTTTACCGAACAAGTACCTACCTATCTACATGCAATTATTCTAAATTTTGTCCGCAATCCACCTGGTATCTCAACTGACACATTGAAATTGAAATCAGTTGGGCAAACTACGGGGAGGTAATCAAGAACTTGATTAATCAAGTTCATGATTATTTTATGCCCATATTTGGTCATGTTTGCAGCCCGTCACGAAAACGGCCGAATCTCGATTCAGGGTCTACGGAGATGCACGAAAATTTTAAGACCGATAGAGAAGAAGTCACTCTACAAGTGTAATCTTTGAATGATTCAAGTTGAAAATCGTGAGGCGGTAGATTGCAACCAAAACGTAATCAACAACTTGATTACGAGGCGTCGTCCCGGGAGTCCGATGATCAACTTCTTGATTACGCAGCCAGCTGGCTAATCATGATCTTGATTTCGCATTCAGCTGGCTAATCACGATTTTGATCGCGCTGATCGTGCTACTGGCGAGCGTTGAACAATGCAGCTAATTAAAAGATACAATGATAATGGTGTATATAAGAGACAAAATCAATCAGTTTTGGTGGGATGGAATTTATGTTGCAGTTAATGTTTCTCATGAATGACTTGACCGAGCCTGTTCAAATTTTGTGTGTGGCTGGAACTTGGAAGCGGATTAGCTATAAGCTTTGGACGAATCGGGGATAAGATATATTTGCACACGCGCACCTTATTTCTGTATCTCCAGAACGGCGTCACCGATTGTTTTTCAATTTTGGTGGGTGGCTAGAGACTCAATAGCTGTAAGCTTTAGACGAGTTAGGGATGTGGCACACACATGTGAACTTGTGCACGAGCACACGTCTTCTCGCGCTTGCTCGCTCACATTGCCGAACACGGAGCTGAAAAAAGACCACCCCGAGCAAGAACACCGCTGTCCGCGATAAGCGGCCTGACCATAAGTCAGCTCAAATGATAAGCTGCATACGACCGTCGACCACATATATTGGACGAATAGCGTCACAACCCAGAGCCCGTGTAACCAAGCACAGATCAAAGATATATTTCAAGAAATGTGTATTTATAGTCCTGCCGGTGGAAGGCTCATAGAATTGGCAAACGCTTCCGACACCCCGCAGCGGCATGCTCTACGGGGATCTCACTCTACTTGCTTCACGGTCGCAATGGCCGCCGCTGATGGCGGCACATCGGCCTTCACCCCACCAAACACTTTGGTTCTCAGAAACCAATTCAGATTGACCATATTTTTAGGAGTTTTGATGTTAAAAATCCAAAATGCGGCCTGCCACAGCAGGAATGCTTGGTCTGGTGGCGCCGATACCACCTCCTGGGCCTCGACGAATACCGCGTCTTCCCCGCCCAGCTCTCCATTCACGATTATGGGATGGAAAGTTTTGCGGGCCTCCGTTGGCTTCCGTCGTCTCTTGGAGAATGCGCTGCAGGTTCTCCAGCTCATCCCCTGCAAAATGTTCATAACCAAATTATAGGTACACTTAACATTGCGTGGGAGAAAATGGAGGAGAAAGAATAGGAGAGAAGGAGGGAAAGAGTAAAGGAGAGAGAGAGAGAGAGAGAGAGAGAGAGAGAGAGAGAGAGAGAGAGAGAGAGAGAGAGAGAGAGAGAGAGAGAGAGAGAGAGAGAGAGAGAGAGGGAGGGAGGGAGGGAGGGAGGGAGGGAGGGAGGGGAGGGGAGGGGAGGGGAGGGGAGGGGAGGGGAGGGGAGGGGAGAGAGGAGAGGAGAGGAGAGGAGACGAGGAGACGAGAGGAGAGGGAGTGAGGAAGGAAGCAAGGAAAGATGGAAGGAAGAAATGATGGAGGAGAGGTAGGCGGATGTAACAAGGCGAACAAGACAAGACATGGAGGACCTGATGAGTTGGCGCAGGGCACTGATAGGTACTACATTTCGGCACATGATGTGAAAATAATGTACAATGCCTCAGACTCAGCAGTCTGGAAAATGTAGGTACAAATTACACATGCATTAGTGAAGAAGTTTCTGCATTTAGATTAGAATGAATTGTTTTGAAAACATTAGACAATGCCTGTATCTTGAAAAAGGATTAGATTGGGCTGTGTCAGGACAAAACTGGGGATGAGTCATGTGAGCTCGCAAAGTTCCAAAGTTGTGCCAGGCAACTTCATGAGATCACACTGAAGGAGCTCCAGCGAATTATTTTCAGCATGCCCAGCTTGAGTGTGCAAAATGTACACTGGACTGGACCACTGTAGTGTCTGAACGTGATGCATTAAACTGAACGTGACACACCAGCGACAAAACAAAACACTACAACCATCTATTGCAAAAACAATTCATACATACCTGCAGCTGTATGAATTCAGCAGCATCCTGGCCTGCTGTCTTGCATGAGCGATGCACATAATACAAATGTAGCTGTACTTAGTCCGCTTAATTCCAAAGAAGTTCATCATATCATTTTTTGATTGAGCGTTCCTCAACGTAGGACCATAGGTACCATTATCACGAGCTTCCTGAGCAATACTGAGGTGACGGTGATGCCCACTGCTACAGCGAGGAGGTGGTACTTTGATGAGCTGTGGAAAAACACACATTTACAGTCACCACTTCTATTATTGTTCTATGAATCCATGACAAAGCCACTTAGAATGCAAGTATGAATAACCTAGCATAAGCCCAAATTTAACTTTTCATTAAAAACTAAAAGATATATCCTATCGGTCCCTGCTTGCACAGACAATTGACTGAATAAATGATATGGCCACACTGCAAACTTTTGCACAACCTGCCAGGCCATAACATTTCTAGCTACTGTGGGCAGTTAAATGTGTCTCTCTAATCAACAATTGCCCCAAACAACAAAATAGGCCTATTATTTACTTTAAGATAAACTATAACCCTGTAAATAGCATTACATTTCGTAAATAATTAAAATATTATACCGCGGAAAGCATGCGCCATGATAGCCTACAAAATCATCATAAATTCTATCGCGATATTTCAACATTTATACCGACGCACATGAACGTTGAGGCTATTCAAATTTACAAACATGATCTAAATTATTTAAAAAATGCTAATTTTTACCTATAAGAACCAAATTACCAATAATTCGGCGTTAATTTCCGGCCTCACCAACACACCGACAACACACAAATGGCGGCGTGCTAACAGGCGACGGTGCCTTTTGGAAGAAATGTTTATTACGACCAATTTAAGACGTGTGTAAAATGAATGTTCAATTATTTATTTTTAAATTAGAAACGTAAAAATGTGGATAAAAGAATAATATCCGCCTAAAAAGGGCTTTAAGAAATATCACTTTTCTGAAAAAGTTAGGCTAGCAGTTTATCTTTCGCCATATGAGCTAAAGTACATATCCCACTGCTACCGGTCCATATCATTTCGGGAGAATAGAATATTGCGTTTCACCTGGTAAAAAATCGTGTCGATATGGACATTATAACAATCGAAACGAAACACTTGAATAGTTCGGTGCACGAAAAGTAATCAAAATCTTGATTACAACTCCTTATATGGTCATGCCACGCCCCATTTTCATGACGTCATAATCATGAACTTGATTAATCAAGTTCGTGATTACCTCCCCGTAGTTTGCCCAACTGAAATACCCTAACAAAACCTAGAACTGTACAAGAGAGAAATGCAGTACTACAAGAACTATGAAGTTCTGAAGTTATTCTCACATGCTGGAATGTTGAAACTCTACTTTTGTCGTCCATTTCCACGTTTGATTGAGCCATCATATAGAACTGTTTTCGCTCTTCAGTCATAAGCTTTTGCACAAATCTTGAATTTTTACACATCATCTCGAACCATGCTCCAGTCTTTCCAACAAAGTACTATGGAACATCAAAGCAATTTTGATTTGTTACAACAGCTTCAGATCATGATTGATGATAGGCTTGAAGTTTGTTACACCATTTGCCAGACAAACCTCTACAAAATGTGTATCAATTCCCAAACTAAGCAATTGATTAAATCAGTCTTTGCAGTTTCCACACAACGTTTCTTAATATTATTCGATTTTTATATCAAGAAACCCAAATAATCCACAAATTGTTATTGAAACACTCCCACTTCAAGAGTTCACAGCAATAACAATACAAGTTCAGAAGCAAATAAACATTGCGCCAGATTTCGTATGAAACGCGCCATCATCCTGAAGTTTCTACCACAGGCGGTAGTTCAACCGCAGCCGTAGTGCGAAAATCCCTGCCCACCTTACCCCACGGCGGAGCTCGGTTGCAATTTGTAAATACGCGGGAAATCTCTACAATAGCTTTGCTACCAAATCCTAGAAGAGCTACCATATTACCAGCAAAGCGCGCCAAAACTTACGCGTGGCGCGCATTTGTTGTCAGCGTTGTCACTCGTCGATGTGTTTGTTGTTTGTGTTGGCTGTGGTGTTATTACCTTTTTTGCTGTGCGATTAGTATCGTGTGATAACTTCAGTTTGGCGAGGAAGACTGAACTGCAATCTTTCAAGATCACTTATATCGACAAGGTAAGAGATGAGTCAGAGTCATGAATTTCCTGATAAAGGTCAAGGTCCAGGTTGGATTCCAATTAAAATTCGAATTAGGTCGATTTTGATATGACGATTGGCATTGTTTTATCCTGTTGTGCGATTTTATCTATGATATATGCGATTTTACCTGTGTTTTGAAATAGCTCCCGTCACCCTTAATTAAAAGAAAATTACCAACATCAAATGACTGAGCAATGGCATGGAAAAACGCCCTTTGCAGCCTCACGTTTCGGTTTGTCCAAATCTGCTACTAATTGCAAAGCCTCTTCTCAACCTCTGTACTTATTAAGCTTACATCTTGACATTGTGACTATCTCGGACAGGTGTTGGCAACATGGGAATCCTTGGACTTTCAAAGTTGATTGCGGACATTGCTCCATCTGCCATCAAGGAAAATGAAATGAAGAACTTCTTTGGTGAGTGAGAAGAGGATGACTATCTGTCACAGTCTTCTTAACATGCTGCCAGGCTTTTGACCTTGCAACGGATTGGCGATGTTGACGTGCAAAATGTGGAGCTTGTACGGCCCTCCAGGTATTAAGCGGCTGGTTGCCAAGATCACAATAATTGATCTACATTTATGAACACGTCTAATGGCTGTTGAAAACCGCTGCCAAGATGTGTGCACGAACCCTCTTCTCATTTGTATTGAGTCATTTTACAGGAGTGTCTCTGTCATTTGAACTTTGAAGTTATTACACCAAGAGCACATAGGCTATAAACCAACCACTCTTTTGCTGGAGGGCTGTACAAAGTCAAGAGTAATGTTATTTGTGTTACATATTTCATAAGGTAGGCACTGTATAATTACAACTCTAAATGGCAACCATCATTTCATGTTTATGCTTGCAGGATTGGCTTGGCATTCATCTCATCTAGTCCAATGGATATTTTCTACATGTCATGTCATGCAAACACTTTGTATGGCAAGGAAAGTCGCATTTATCCATGAAAAGCATACTCCTTTGAATTGTTGGCATGCAGTAGAGCTTAAAACTAATGATGGCACATACCCCTGCCGTAAGTGCCATGGCTCGTGCTTTTCCAAAGTTTCAGCACTTCTGCGCCCACCCAAGCCCTCATGGAGTGAAGCATGACTGACTGCCCGACTCTCTCATAGGTGGCGTTGGAGAGGATCGCTCACGCTGTAGGTGGCGCCACTATACCGTTGCTTCCATCGTGATAGTCTGGATCAGGCGATGGGTGGAGAGGGAGACTTCCATTTTGCGTCTAGCTAGACGCGTCTAAGTCTTAGGTGCGTCTAGCTGGACGGCGGCTGCGTCTATCTGGCGACAGCTAACTTTAGACGCGTCTAGCTTGGAAGTCTCCGTCCAACAGTTAGACGCCAAGTTAGACGCCACTAGGACGTCTGCTCAATTAGACACCAGTGACTTGGACGCCAGTGGAAGTCTCCAGACTCCACCCGATGTGTATTTTAAGTGCATCCTTCACTTGAATATTTGTGTATTTTCAACACAAAAACAATCAGCATTTTTAACCGCTTTGGATATGAATTAACATTGGCATGCGATGCTGCTTAGCTAGATTGGATGCTGAGGATAACAGCGATATTCACTGAATCGGTAACATTTCAACGATACTGCGAGCGGGAAGTGGTGAAGGGGAAGTGGTTTTGGGATCAGCCATTATTTCTTGTCATCTACTTTCTATCTCTGTTTTCCTGTATGCGATGGTGTCGACACAAGGTTAACTTGAATACCGCCGATGCTCTGCTCCATTAAATGTTAATCACATATTTAAATGTCTCGTTTGTAAAATTTACTGTGATTTAGTACTCAAATACGCATTCCTTTTGCCAGGCTGCGGCAATACTCTTTAGATCGAGGGAAAATGAAGATTGTATTTGTCTGATTTTGTTTTTTACTTTAAGCTTTTCATCAAAGGTTAAAGCCGATCTTTTTGGCACCGTGACTGAACCAACGGTTGACAGAATGGTAACAATGGTGCCCCCACGAAGGCCTAAAGTCGGGGTAGTCAGTAGTTTCATCAATTATCCTTCACTTGTCAGATAAGCCCCAACGAATTTAGTTGCTCCAACCCAATTCGAGGCGGCACCGCGCTGACCAAAGGAACCTGTTTGTATTCTTCACCGAGAACGGAATCCCAGCACGGGAGTTTTTAATCGACGTAGGGTCACCCAAGATGCCATGAAATCGAATCCATGGGAGCCCAATAACCAGGATCGTCGACTAGTTTCTGGTATCGGGCTGCCGTGATCACACATTGTTGATAAGGACTAACCCTCTCAGGTCCGTTAAGCGACCCCTTTCATTTTTTAACTACAATATTTCATTCCTTGGAATGTTTACTAGTAGACAACTTTTTTTTTGTACGCTCTTATATCCATACCTATGTCCACTGGAATATTTGCCTAAAATGTTCAAGAATAATGCTTTATTAAGATAGCGACGCTTATGCGCATTGCCAAGATTCATCTAGGTTTTACTGTGCTTCACATATTTTGCATTACATTGCTGATCTATACTAATGTGTAAGTCCTTGAAAAGTGATGAATTTAGTTATTGAGCTCTCAGACATGTTTTGCTAGGGGTTCGTCTTCGTGCTAGCAGTTATGTTCTGTTGCTGGATATTTTTTTTTTTTATAACACCAAAAAGATGCATATCAAGGTATGTACATTCATTTATTTACAATGATTGCACTGGTTATTTACAAAAAGAAAAACACGTATCACAGCATTCGCATGCATGACTACCCCACACTACACATTATTTGTATCACTGAGCGACTCGACGTGGCAGTATAAACATTTGCAGCTAACGCTAGCGCGATGGCCGACACTTACACACACATCATCATCATTGTCATCAATCACTCGTCAAGCTGGAGTGTTTAAAGAGCGTGGTGTGCTGTTTGTCTCGCGTCCGGCGCGGTCCCTGTCGAAAAAAAAAACGCTTCCGCGTAACTTTCTGTCTGAGCTATCTGATGTGAGACCAGAGAACGGGGCCGAAACCGACCGCTGGATCCGGGGGCTCAGGAATTCGTGGATGTACTCAAATGTCTACGAACAATGACCAATGAGCTATAAGAGATTTTTTATGGTGGGAAATTGACTATAATGGGTCATGCGAGAGGTTTTCTGTCGCGAGCGCTGTCTCTGCGATGCAGCGAACGGTACTGAGATTCGTTGTGTTGCGGCGACCGGGGTGCCTGACCGCACCCGCTCCTGACTGGCGCCCCTCACTGGTGGGTGCTCACGGGCGCACCGCTCACGCCTCACGAATCACCCTGTACGCCCCCATCTTGCCCTCGGGCGCGGCACGCAGCGCGCGGCAGTGTGAGAGTACCGCGGCGTACGCGTACCACACGAACACAATCACGATAATTCCGACCGGCACCAGCGGCACCAGCACTGCCCAGCTGAACTCGACCGTGTCGGCCGGGTGGACGGCCGGCGCCACCACGCGCACCAGGTGGATCACACCGCCCAGCCAGGAGAGCGACAGACACACCAGGAAGATGCCGTACCAGGTCAGCCAGGCGGCTTCCAGCTCCCATCGGCGCCGGCGCACGCCCACCATCAGCAGGCAGCAGGCGAGCGCGTTCAGCGCGCACACGAAGCACGCGCAGAGCACGGCCGTGCGCACGCCGACCGTCAGCTCCGGGTCCAGGTGGTAGTGGCCGCCATGCGTGACTCCCAGGTAGACGAAGCCGGCCAGGATTGCGGCGATGTTGACGGCGAAGTAGACGGCGCCGATGATGAAGGAGAAGGTGCTGGCCGGCACGCACAGACACCAGTGGTGTGTCGGCGGCTCCAGCACGGTCACAGTCTGGCCGGTCATGGTGACGAGTCTGCTGGAGGGAGGACGACAGTCAGCGACGGCCCGGGCGCAGCGGTGGACACGTGTTCAGATAATGAGACATGATACGTGCTACCAAATAGCCGGACATGACACCGTGCTGCTGCATGGATGGACATGTAATGGGCTAACGCTTCCAGCCGGCTTCCGAAGCGCTACAGCTACAAACACGTTTTCTTTTAATCACACCATCTGCAAGCACAGCCGTAAGTTGAGTGGATGAAATGTAAATTTAAATTCGTTAAATGAAAAGTAAATGATATACGCTAAAGTGAGTTATACAATTCAGCTAACTTGCTCTCACGCTGGCAGCTTTGTCGTCTTCAAGGTAGTGTGTGATCTAATATCGTGCTACTGTAATAAAATGTAAACGGCTGCCGCACATATCGCACAATTAACCACAATCTAATCCACCCCAAATCGCCAGCTAGCCATCCCTGTTGCTCACCTTCACTCAGTTTCCGATCTGCGCAGCTCTCCGGTCCTCCTTTGTTGCTCTGTCGGCGCGGAGCGGACGTGCGATCGTCGCGAGCGGCGGGGGTCGATTCTGGCGGCCGGATGCGGCCGACGCGTTATATAGAGGGGCGCGCCGCCGCCGCCGCCGCCGCCGTGGCTGACGAAACAGGCAGCGCCTGAGTCACTGCGGCGCCGCGCAAACCGCGGGCAGCGCGAACTCTGAACAGCTGCTGAGGCTCGAGCTGCGTGAAGCTGTTTCAGGCTTTCACGTACAGATGAAGATGCAAATGCGTATGAGTTTGCGTGTGGAGATCTCGAGCTGTCGGGGATGGTCGTCTTGAAGGGAACACAGAATGTATTGCGAGCAAAAGCGGCGGTAACCTTGTATGAACACTGGTGGATCCAAACTAGACCTTTCGGGTCATTGTCCCGCCTTAGCTCCCCCGCAGCTGCCGAACATGAGTGATATCCGAGTGGCCTTTGGAAATTGGAGAAACTTCTTGGGGAGTATGTCAGAGGCTTAGCGTGCAATACCATCTTTTTGGATCCGTCAGCAGTTGAAGTTGGATTTCTGCTACTGTTTTTGCGGGGACTTCAATGAGCTTGTTGATTTGGCCTGCGCCAATCACAACACCACTGCACAAAAAATTAAAACCATATCGATTCCCCGCATCGACAAATCATTGGAAACAATGTTGCAATGTATCATTGGCGCTCTGATTGGTTGATTGTGGTCGCAGAGCTCCAAATCACCCGGAATGATTGATATGTAATTGAATACTGAACAAAGTCGTAAATTATGTGCTGACTATCGACTGTCTGTTCTGTTCGATCCCACCGATACCAACCGTCCCTCCAAGTAGGAACCAAGGTCTCAATTACCACTGCCAATTGCCTGTATGTAATCGCTGTGCGCTAGTCGTTATATTGGGGCTGAATGGCTTTGTGCCCCATGCCCATAGCAGTTCAGTTGTTATTGGATTGTCTTACTGAATTCTGCTTTATTTTGCAGGACTACATTTTTATTGTTGATACCTTTTAACATCTGCATTTTAACTATGATCCTTCGAAAGTATCGAAAGATTGCTGAATTGCTGAATTGTTGTAATATCGGACTTCT